TTTTTAAAAAGTCAGTATTAGTATGATGTGAGTTTTTAAATATCCCCTATTAGTTTAACACAGGATCTAGCTAAGTGTTATAGTTGACTGTATGAATCTAAACACAGAAATCGTGGTAATGTGATAATGTTATAGAATAAAACAGCTTTTCAAATCATTTTGGAGATTTTAATTAAAGAAAACATATAAACTAATATTAAATCATATTCCTATCAACCCACTAATATGATATCAGTTAACATTGAAACAACTCCCATTAACATAGTATTATAAAGGCAAGGTAAAGAAAAAAAGCATAAACACAAGCCTGTGAGTTTTATTTGGAAAATAGCAAAGTAACAATGGTGTGAGATGGCAAGCGCAAGGTCGCGAGTTCCCGGTACCGGAAAAAAAACAAAAAACAAAAAACAAAAAACAAAACAAAAAAAAAACAATGGTGTGAGAGAAATAAAATTTCTTGTGGTGCAGGTAAGGAGAAATAAGTTCTGTGTTTGCTAAGAATATTGCCATGTACACATAAGGTCGAGTGATGTAGGCGCCTTCCCCCGTTACCTCACTAGGAACCACGCGGTAAGCTCGCTGTGCAACACTGAAACTGAACCCCCGCCGAGTCACAGGAGAACAAAGCCAGTACTGCTTGTCTCTGGAATTTAGCATAATTATAGCATTTCTTTCAGTCCTAGCTTATTATCTTAAGGAAACAAATAATTTAAGTAAAATATTGACAAACTATGTCAACTGATAATAGGCTTAAATTTCAGCGGAGGAAATATTGAGTTGTGGGACCTCAAAGAAAGCTAAGATCCTGTGTGATTTTACCAGACATGGTTTCCTGTTCCAGGAATCTTACTCAATAATATCATTACTTAGGTATGTGTTCTTAACCACGAGATGGATTACAAAGAAAAAAGAAAAGAACAATAACAAAACCCCCACAAAAGCTTGCATTTTCCCAATGTAATTGTGTCATTGAAATAAGAACTAGGAGCGTGTGTAAATGCAGGCGTTCTTAGAAAGGTGGACCTTTAGGGTCATTTTCTTCATGTTATTCTATGCGATCTTCCTTTACGAGAAGGAAGAACGTACTGGCTATTCACCCACCGTGTGTTATTACTGTCATTATGAATCCATTAGATATATTCAAGTGAGCTGAGTAACAGCCCTGTGACCAAAAATTCTCCTCTTGCTTTTAGTATAGCATTTGGTAGAATATGCTTTTAGTATAGCATTTGATAGAATACAAATTGTTCCTTATTTACTTTTCTTCTATGGAAAAAGTTCTCGGAAAATATAAAAGTCCTCTCCTTTGCCCTTGGGTATCAATAGAAAAGTAGGTCATGACTATGAGTTCTGACTATTAAGCTGTTTCATTTGTGACACTTGTTGTGATAACCATTACACAGCTGTCTGAGATTATATATATATTGTTACTGTTCTGAATATTTTGGTGTACATATTATATACAATTCCTCATTGAGCAATTGATTTATCTAATGACCTAGATGCAGAAAGAGAACTCAGTTGTTAAAGGAAGATTATATATATATTTTTAACACTAATTGTGAAACTTTAATGCTGTACCCATCTTTTTTGCCCAGTGGCATCCTCTTGCCACTGTAGTATGTTTTTCTCCTTTGGCATCTAGATCACAGGGGCAGTAAGTGTCCCTGTTTTCCAGCTCACCTCAAATGGCAGACAGGATCAAGTGTATGCACTACAGCTCCCTTAAGCTTTGAGGAGGGTAACCATGAATACATCTTATACTGGCTACCAGTGTCTCTCCAGTAGACAAAAGCTTGGATCACTCATAATATCAGCTAGATTTATTGGTCCCTCTGTCTTGTTTCCACCTTACTCATGAGTCTTTCACCTCCAAAATGAGTTTCTTTCAGTCAAATCCTTATTTCTTGAGTCAAGGGATGGAGCTCAGTGGCACAAGCACCTGCCTGGCAAGCACAAGGTCCTGAGTTTGATTCCCAGTATAAAAAACAAACAAACAAACAAACAAACATTTTAAGAAATCCTTGTTTTTTGAGTAGTTTCTATTTCTGGAAGAAACTAAACTAAAATCCACGTCAACATACTACTATTCCTAACTCTGAAATATTTGTAATTTTAACTTAAACTTTAGACTAAAATTACAAATGTTTGTTTACACAGACTTCTCATTGTGGTTTCATATGTTAGACAGGGAGACAGAACGACATACCCAGAAGAGATGAGCTAAATATGGAGGTGTGAAAAGTAGTTCTATGATCACAAGAAATTTAAACCAGTGAAATTAAAATACTTAGTTTGCCATCAATTTAATAATTAAATAACTTTAATCATTTTTATGCTATCTGTTCAAAGTTTTAAAAGGAGTCACCGATACAGTAGGATGTATTTCTGCCTGGTATTTATCTAAACTCTGGCAATAGCACTTCATCAATCTTTTAATTTTCAAGCAGCTATTCACAAATAGGATTGCACAGTAAAAATGTTTCCTTAATGGTTTAATATTAAAAAGTGGAGTTTTTTTGGAGGGTGATCTGTTGGTTACCAAATCCACCCAGCACCTAGGAAAATGATTCCTGCCATGGCTCAATCAGAGGCTCTTCTAAAATTCCGCAGACATCTAAGACTGCAAACTGCTATCCCTACTTCTGTTTCCATGGAAATGGGCTTCAGATCAAGGGGGGGGGAAGGGATGGGGTTAGTAGCTTTCAAATAATCATTCAAAATCATGATTAGGTCTTTAGAGCTTCCTTTTTAGGTGATTATTTTGTAGCCTCTTAACCCCCTTTTGCCAGTCTGTTTCCATGGAAATATGACAAAAATGGATGCCCACGGCTCAAGGAGAGATTATTAGCGTTCTTGTGAATTTCAGCTTTGGCTGCAGCCTAGGTTGAGGAAGATTATTTTATTTATCAGATTCATACATTAACCTACACTGTTTATACATACTATAATTTTTCCTCACAATGTCTACTTTCTTTAAAAATTCTCTTCTCATACTTATAGCTATTATCAAATGAAATAGAATAATTGAGACATCACTACAAAAGGCCTCAGTTTTAAATTCAAGTACATGAACCAGGACATGTAACTGCAAAGAGTGTCAACACCTTCAGAGACCTGCAGAAGAAAATATTATATACTTACTGGACATAACATTTATTAAATAGGTGTTGGCAGATAAGCAACAAGGGTGATGTTAAATATTACACAAGCAATAATGCACAGAATCGACTATTTAAAGCAACTGCCTTGTATCAGCTGATTATCAGCTGTCATGCAATTATCGATAAAAAATTAAGTTAAAATTGCCTTATATAAGGTTCTTAGTATTATTATTATTAGTAGTAGACTATTCAAGGTAAGAGACTAAGCTTGAAAGACCTACAAAGGATCTTTAAAGAAAAACTAGTAAGAATATATAGCCTTCCATCTAAAAAAATCAAAGTGCATATGTTTGGATCTTCTTTCATATAAAGGTCATTCAAAAATCAAAACCGGGGCTGGGGATTTAGCTCAGTGGCAAAAGCGCCTGCCTGGCAAGCGCAAGGTCGTGAGTTCGGTTCCTAGTACCGGAGAAAAACCAAAAAACAAAAAAAAAAAAAAAAAAAATCAAAACCATTCTTATAAATAAGGACATTATGCTAAAAAAAAATAGAGGAAGAATGTGCATGGCCCTTTGCTAGAATCCCTGGCAAGATATCTGGTGTTGAATATGAAAGAGTAACAGCATGCTACATATAAAATTTTATTCTGTCCTGCCCTCTGATTTGCTGAACAGCTCAATCTACCATTTTGCTCTGAGAAAACTTAAGGTTCTGATTGACCTTATGAAATACTTTTATTCTATAGAACTCCTTTATTATTTTCTATTTGGAAGTTTTTTTACCTATAGACTTCTGTCTTCTGAACTTGAAATTGACAAAAAGTACATTTCAATTGGTAATGATCAGATTGAGATCGATTCCAAACTTAAAGTCAGCAGAGTAACTTACTGCAGAAACTAACCTCGTTTTCAAATAGATCAGAACCACAGTAAAGTAAAGCAGCTCATTTAATTCTTCAGCTCATAATCACTACTCTAAAAACAGAATTTACCCTACTCGTTAAATACACCATTTTTGGCTGGCCCTCAAACCAAATCTGGTATTTCATCTTGTTTGTGTTAATGGAGCCTTACTGGAATACAAGCACATCCATTCACATTTTGGCTTGTTTTTTTTTGTTTTGTTTTGTCTTAATTATCTATGACTGCTTTCCCACCGAAAAGGTCAAGATGTCACACATAAGACATGGTTTGCAACTCCTGACTACTGAAGGAAATATTTACTGACCCTGCCAAGGCCAGGAGCCTGCTCTGAGGCTAAACCTGCCATCTCCTAACCTTGTGAACTTAAATTAACCTGGACTATTGTGTTATCAGGATTAGATGAAGAATTATTTGTAAATTATTTATATAGTGCTTGTCAATTACCTCTGCATAAATATTATTTATTATCTAGAATTTATCAGTTTGTAAGCACTTTCTAAATATCAGTGACTTACCATTGTCACCACCACATAGGCCTTTTTATACGATTTAGTGTAACTAATTTTAAGAAATCCATTGGTGAGACTTGATTGTTTAATATAAGTGGTAACTGATGGCTGTTAAATACATTTTCAGTTCAGATTATATATTACTTTCACTTAATATATATTTGGCTCTATTTACCAACAAAAATGAAAACGTTCCATGCTTGATGCACAGAAGGTTATTCACTTTGAGGATTTTAAATAGCTTCACATTTTAAACATAAGTTCTAGTGCAGTACCTAGGTTGATAGATGTGAAACAGAGGTGATCTAAAAGGTATAATATTATGTGGCTTTAAAAATTTCACTTATAAAATATACAACTTCCAGAGAAGAAATTTTGTAACTTGTGCATGCTTTCATTTTTTCCACTCTCAAAGCAGGCTGTGGAGTAATGGATAACAATATGAATGCTGCGTGCGTACTTACATCCATGAACTCAACATTGGCCTTGGGACCAGTCGTCTCATTGAGGATCTTAATAGCCACAGGAATCTTCACTGTTTCTCCTTCAGGAACCCAAATACCCTTCAGGAAAAATGCATCACATTAAATCTACATGAATGCATACATAACATTTATAACAGAAATAAAATTTGATTTGACCTCTCAACCTACTAATTACCTTAAAAGTTCTATATTCTTTCATTCAATCAAAATTTAGTACTTGTTATATGTCACAAGTTCTACTGCATATTTATTGTCTGATTTCATTATGTGATGATGAAAGATATTTACATAGATATTTACATAGATGCTGTCAAGGTATTTACACTATTATGAATTTCAATTTGTGTACATGTGAAAAAACTGGATAGTGAAGAAAGCATAGAAATAGAATGGAGAAAACAACAATACTTGGATGAAATCATGGACTTCTTAAGCCTTTGAGAAGGCTATTATATTTTTAAAATTCTGATCGTCTCAACTATAATATAGAAGAATGGCCTACATAATGTTGGAGGTTCCAGCTTTAATATTATCTATTTTCAAACTAAACCATAGTCTTGTGTTCTTCAAGTTCAGAATGATTTAAGAAATAATTTTCAAAGGTGATTATTTCAGAGTCCATTTTCAAAGGCACATACTAGGGAATATTGAACACATATTGATTTGTATATGTTATTAAATTCTGTGCGTATATGAAAGTTTTTATTACCTCTGAAGTAAAATATTTACATAAAATATTTATATTGGCCATTATTAATTCTTTCTAGTAACATATAATTATAATATCTCCACAGGATCTATGCACTGGGAAAGAATAAAGTTGATAGCAATAAAGCTAGTAACATTTGCGTAATGTAAAACATTAAGATAAATATTAGCATTTCTGAGTAAACTGAATTGAAATATTTAAATGAGGAAAGTAATTCTGACAAGACATAAGGATGGACAGAGGAATATATTTTAGAAAGCATACTGCCAAAATGAACACACAGCAAATATGAAGTGAGGCGGGGAAAAATATTTTAGATTTTAACTTATTAATCTTGACACCAACAAAGACTTCTTAAGACAGTTTTGAAATGGAAGAAAGACAAAAATGGACCTAGACAAAATATATTCCAGCATAGGTCATCTATATTTCATGTTTTCTTATTATCAGCTGGTGTTGGTCCTTTAAAAACTAAATATTTAGTTTTTTCCCTTTGATCATCTATAGTAAAACATAATATACTTGTGTTAACCAAAGTTGTAGCAATATGAGAAACACATTTGTTCACAATACTAATGTTAGTGGACCCAAGTTCTTGGTGTTGAACAAAGACTGAGGGAGACCTCCCTGAAGAGCAGTGAAGTCAAAGTGCACTCCACAGGGTGGAGCTGGCTGGTGGGCGCTCGCCACTGGAGGAGTTTTGGTGTTGAGGGTTTTAAGCATTAGGGTTTGGGGCAGGCTTGAAGGGTTGGCCTGAAGTTTGCTCTTGCCAATGAGTGGTGTGGCTCAGCCCATTGGTGAGGCAGTGAAGTTGTTGACCTCTTGAGGCCTTTGGAGAAGCTGAGCAAAGCCCTCCGCAGGGACTGAAGGATGTGTGTCAAAACTGCACAGTCAATGACATGGTAAGTAGGTAGGGCCCTGTCACCTGCATGCCTGGGGTTTACTGTATATAAATTGAGTCACCTAATTTCTTTCTCCCAGTGTATTTAGACCTGAGTATCCCAAACCAGGGTTGGTGTTTAACTCAGAATGTGGACCTAGCTGAGAAATTGAGCTCCAAAGTGGGCCCTTTCTTCTCTCTCTGGCCAATTTCAGCTACCTCCTGTGTCAGCTAATAAAGAAAAATATTTTAACCTTCAGGAGGTAAATTTAAGGTCATATTTTTATGCAGAATCAATAGGCATATGTATGTGTCAAATGCAAAATAATATTCTAAGCGCTTTGTGCTATGAATTTCTTTTTAAAATTAAAACAGAAATGGGTAAAAAATGTGAGCCTAATATCAATAGGTCTACATTTTCTCATTGAAGGTATCTAGGGTGGAGAACACACTTGCTATTATTCAATAAGATAACCACAGAGAGTTACTCCATAAAGATATCACATCAATATTAAAATATTCTTAAAATATACTTTTAAATGAGAATATAAATTCAGTGAGAATTAATTTACTTTGCTTTGGAAAAAAAAGATATAGTAACTACTTTCCAGATCTGACCATATAAAAATTCAACTATACTATTACAATCATGCTGTTCTTAATAATTTATGCTTAAGCACAGCATTTCTCCATTGAGGAGGAAAACTTAATTGAATAATTTACCAAGCAGTTTATGTTTCTGTGGTGAAGAATAATCTTTTATACTTTAGTATATAATCATTGCTTTGTTAAAACTAAAGACTAACAATACACATTCCAGGCATAAAATTCAAACAAATTCAAAGAACTTTCAAAGAGCTTTCTTACAGGTAATTTTAACAAAAATAAAACACTCATTAAAAACAAATCATTACTTATCAATAAAGATATACTTCTAAATGCTAGTATTTTCCCTGCTGATGTCATTAAGTAGCATTTCATCTTGAATCACAGTCTCCACAGTTTAAAATGAAATTTAGTTTCCAGGCCATATCACTTAAGAATATATAAGGGTGATTGTAATTTAGAAACAATCCAAGACTGAGTTATTTTAAAAATGAAAGTTAGCTATAATACATTTAAAACAGGCCATTTATCTTTGTCTCTCTTCTCCATAAACATATACATTTGTCTTGCGCTAAATGTGTCCTAAGAGAAGGAGACTCTAATACCGTCATACTGACTTGTCCTATGGCATAGAACAGAACCCTCCAGCTAATCATATTCTTTGTACTAGCGTTTCTTGCCTTCTCTCAAGACTGTATTTATCCCAACTTACTGAAAATACATTTTTAGAACTGTAGTAAATGAAGTTATAGAAAGGATGAGCATTAGAGTCTCTTATTCTTGTTATTTACCATCAAAATAAATGTCACCATAATTAACCTTGGGCCTGGCTTCTAGACTGATTTTATAAGTAAGCTAAATAAGTAAACAGGCAAACACCATCATCTGAGCTTTCTCTTTCAAAAAAATACCTCTTGCTGAAAATTCATAATATTATCCTTTCCTCCTATCAGGCCTGCATTTCTCATATAAAGTTAATTTTTAGTTTGCACATAATGGCAAGGACATCAAAGTGATGAGCATTAACTAATAAATCATATATGCAAAAAGGCAGAGAAAATGGCTTAAAATGCATTTCCATCCTATTAGCACATCAGCAAATTCAAGTGGGTTCTAAAGAGATCAGATGTTAGCGTTCTTATAAATATGCTTGTGAATAAAAGTAAAGAAAGAAAGAAGGAAGAGCAAAAATTTTGGTATTTTACACAGATGTGTGAGACCTCATGGTGCACTGTTTAGCAAGAAGGAGAAATGGACTGTTCAGGATATTTTTGAGAGAAAAGGAAATTTGTCAAAGGAAGAACAATTTTGAAAGGGGCTCAGAGGGCACTGGGAGACAGAACTATATTTGGCTTTATACCAGCATTTCCTGTCTTCTCTCAGGACTATTTATCCCAGCTTGTTCAATAAAAATTAATGAATTCATTTGTGCAGCAACTTTTCAATACTATAAAGGTCCTCTCTGAATATTAAATGGAAACTAGCTTGGCTAAAGTAATTACTTTGTCTATGATTTTTTTGAAAAGCAGGAAACAAAATTTAAATAACTGATGGCATGTGTGTGTGTGTGTGTGTGTGTGTGTGTGTGTGTGTGTGTCTGTGTGTTACTTACTTTATAAACAGTTCCAAAAGCACCTGAGCCAAGAACTTTTATCCTCTTTAGTTCAGTTTCTTTCAAAATACGAAGTTGAGCTTGATTGGGTGCTGTACCACTAGGAGTTAAAGGCTCTACCAACTGCAAAACAAGGAGGTAAGATTATGTAACTGTCCATCCAGTAATCACCTCTCTCTCTCTCCTCTTCCCTCTTTTCCCCCCTCTCATTCTCATACATGCAAAACACACAAATGTGGTTATTGCTGACCAGTAACTTTTTAATATAATCCACTCAGCTTCATAGATACACATTTTTGCCATTCCTTCAGACCCTATCTTTTCTATTTTCTGATTTTTTCCCAGGAGACTTCAAGAAACAAATATACCCCACCTTGAGATGTTATAGGCTCAGAAATACTATGCATAAAAATATAGAAATGCTACCTTCTTAGTGCAGAAGAGGGGAAAGAATTCAGCCAGTGTCAGTACCTCAGGACAGACTTTCCAAAACTTAAGTGACACTATGAATTGCCTGGGTTTCTTGTCACAATACAGATCCTGGTTCAGTAGGTATGGGGTACATCTGAAATTTGGCATTTTTATGGTACCTTGGTATGATCATGGCCCTTGAACAATTTATAAGTAGCAAAGCCCTAGTGTATTTCCTAGATCAAAAATTCTATGATTGGATTCTAGACCACGAATGAGTGCTGGGGAATGCAAAAGAATACAGCAACACCAGAGGTTATTGAGGTTCAGTAGAGTACATATAGAGTTCAGAACTATTCATGGTTTCAGGCATGCAACTGGAGGTCTTGAAACATATCATCCACAGAAAAGGGGGGTGACTGTACACAAGAAAGACTCAATACCAGTTTATATCCTTTGCTGTAATTTTACATTTAAATTCATGCTTAAGGGATAAAGCAAGTGAGAGAAGTAGGAGGGTATTTTTTTAATTAAAAAGACAGTAAGCATTAAACAAAGACAAGCAGCCCATTCTTTCCCTGCATCAGGAAATAATTAAAGGCTACTCCTACTCACATTGTCTTGAAACCAAAGTACTATTTCAAAATGTGTGTTTACAGGGCTAAGTATACCGTGGCCCTCCAGCTTGGGTGTTATTATCGTGCGTCTATGGACATCATGGCCGATTGAAAGAGCAGAAAAGAGTTTTAAACTCAGGTACATGTAGCAGTAGCAAGAATCTTAGGAAGAATATCATAAAATTTACCAAAACTGCTATTTTCTACTAGTTTTACAATTAATTGGGCTTTATTTCATTTTTAAATTTATATTGCAAAGAGATAAATTTGATAATTCCTAACTATAGTCAAGTTCCATAAAAAAAATCACTAAATTATTGCTAAATCAGAGAATTTCCCAAAAAGATTTCTCTTCTTCTGAAGGTAACTCTCCTGTCCAGGAGTTATTTGACAGATGTTTACATATAACTATGTAAGATGAGAAATTTTCTGAATAATTTTTAAAAATTAGACATTAAATTGAAATGAAATCACATGCAAAATTGAAGGGGATTTGGCACTTTGCACTAGATACTTGAAATATTTATTACCTACGTGTGCCTTTGAATATATCATGTGATAATTTCATATCTTGAAAACTTCACAGTACTTCCCAAGAGTTTGAGTCTCCTAGCGTTACATTTTACATTTTCTCCAAACACATTTTCCTCCAGGAATCTGAATGCTATAGCTTTTTTAAAAGCTTATTCTCAATTTACAGACCAGTGATGATATAGTAGAAATAGGACTGAGTTGCAGCTTGGAGGTGTGACTCCCAGGCTTAGGAAACAATTTGTCCCTCCAGGGCTCCTTATTTCCAATCTGAGAAATAGGTGTAGCAATAATCACATTCGAGGACTGTGAAGGGAAGAAATGAGACTACACAGGCAGAAATTCTGGAACATTATCAGGTATTTTATGGGCACTCAATCTGTTCCTCTCCAAGGGATATGATCATGTCCTAGGAAAGTATATTTTAATGAAAGTATATACTAAAACATCCCACTGGTACCTCAATACATATGTCTTGAAAAATTATTTTTGGTACTTTTTATGAAAATAACAGAAGAAAGTCAATGAGAAACAATATGATTCTGGGAAAGTGTTTCAATTTTAAATGTATTACAACAACATATCTAGCTTCCAACAATTTTTCACCCTTGATGAAGATGTGTAACTTTAGTATAGATGGATTTAAATTGGTTCTCTTCAGAATTCCTAGGGTTGGCTGGGCGTGGTGGTATATGCCAACAATCCCAGCATTTGGGAGCTGAGGCAGGAGGATCACTGCGAGTTTGAGACAAACCTGAGCTACAAAGTGAGTTTAAAGGACAGTCTGAACTATATATGGAAGCTTTGTCTCAAAAAAACCAAAAAACAAATCAAAACAAAAAACAAAAACAAAAATAATAAAAAAAAGAATACCTGGTCTATTTAGATGATGGTTTGAAATTCTAATTATTTAACTTTTACTAGGAAAAAGGTGGGAAAGCTACAAGTATTTATCCTGAAAATAAAAAATAGTTTAGGGCTAAGTTGTTTCTATAAAAAATAAAATTCTTCTATAAAACAAATCAATATGCTTATTTAACAAGAAAACGACAACTCCTTAGAAGGTACTCTATTAAAAGAAAAAAAATGAAGCAGTGTAAGGCTCTTCATACTAAAAATACTTCCTTGCACATGGCTCAAAGCAGAATTTCTCCTTTAATTAATCAGTCACCTAAATGTCCATGCCAAGACTTACTTTCATATCCATCTGTAGTTTCCTCCCTTTTCAGAATTCTCTCACCAACTGCTCTAAACTGGCCAGGAGGGAGAATTCTATCTGCCTGCAGCATCCTAGGTAAACCGATTTCTCCATTTTCATTCACATGTGCAGTTTTTAAAGCAATCAAGTCAATCATTTGTGAATATCCATTTAAAATATATGCTGCTATTATATCTTATGTATGCATTTTATTCTCTTTATTTTGCTTGACCAAGTGTGTTTATTTGACATCACATTCAAATTCAGAGAACTCCATCCTTAAAATGTATATTCCTATATGTAGCTGTAAACTAGTTTCCTGAAGTTTCCCCGTGATTATTTTACATAGTTTCAAACTCAGAGGAAAAGAGTTAAACATCGAATTCATTATCAGTGCGCAAAACTTATGAAAGAATATTACCATTTCTGCTAGTGTTAAGAAGAATCCAGATTACTGTCACACTGATGAAAGAAAACAAAACTCAGGTAGTCTAATTTTCAGATCTGAATTGTACTGAATTGTTCAGGCCAGCATAGATGTAGGTGTCAGGGGAAAGAGATAGGGTGTGAGTTGAGAAGTGTCTGGTATTGCAAAATCTTCTCTTATTGTTTTTCTTCTGTATGCCGTGCAAGGAAAACTAACAGCTTGCATGATCAGTGTGGCAATATAAGAGGAATTATAATAATTTATGGGTAATTTACATATTCACAATAACTACCATGCATAATATTAAATGCTTCTCATGAATCATGTTGTTAGTTCTGTGCCATTACAACACTAAGCTTTATTCTGTAAGCTCCCCTCTTTCACGGATGACATAATGAGATCATTGGCTATCGATTTAAAGATCATAATTAAAGTACACATTGCTTGCCTATCTGACTACATTTTGAACCAGAAAATTTTTCTCTCATTCTCACGTGTTCTTACTTTTACCACTGAGGTATCATCTACCCAGGCTTTTCTAGTTCAGCTGCTACTGAGATATCCTGTAGCCAAAGTTTCCTAATGGAAATCCACACTGGGAAAAAAAAAAATCGAGATATACCCCCCAATATAGTAATTTCTTCTCTACTCTCTCTAAACTATAAATCTACTTTGACTAGCTTTATTATATATTCTGCTTCTTCATTAGTTTTGTATGAAATACAAAAAAACCCACTATACTCTCATCAAGAAATTGAAGAGAATTCTCATTTGAATTAGGAAACTGAGCATCAACTAAATCTCAAACCTAATGAAAATCTCTAAAGAAGTGCATAAAAAAGGTAATAAACAACTCACCTCTGTTTCTAGGAATCTTCTTAAGGCCCTTTTCTTTTTGATGCTCTTTCTCCTGACATAAACTGCAAATGTCAGACCTACTATGACCAAGATGAAGAGCCCACCAATGACTCCAGCAGCAATTAGGGGAGTTCTGCCAACCAGAATGAAAAAAAAAAAGTATGAAGAGAGAAAAGACAAAGGACGAAAAAGACCAGTGTTTGGAATATTATGCGCATTTCATAAAGTTAGTCATTTACAGGAGGGGCACATGACAGTGCAGTAGGGCTGTAATGAAACCTTTCTTGTAGCCAAACTGCAGCTTCTAGCTTGGTTTAATGAATACACCATGTATATACAGAAGAGCAGTCACGACATGCCTTTTGATGAAAAAATGTAAACACTGGCAACAGAAATTAAAACATATGCTAAGAAACTGGTATGTGAACATTTGAAATTATTTTTATATGACTATTATCCAAAAATAAAGGAAAATGCATTTTAATAAGATTGCTTAGATATATAATTTTATTTCACTATTTTCTCTAAACCAGACTGTCTCAACAGTGGCACTATTGACATCAAGGGCGGGACACGAGTGTTGTGGGACTCTTCTGTGCACTTGAGGAGGTTTAGCAGCATCCCTGTCTTCTGTCCACTGGATACCAGTTGTACCCCAAGACAGTAGCCATGACAATGTTTCTGGACATTGGCAGATATCTGCTGACTTCATCCCATGTGAGAACCACTGTTCTAAACAGCAATGAGTAATCTAGAAGCACATGAATCTCCACATCTCTGGGGAACAAGGGTACCAGTAAGAGAGTCCTGTCTTTCCTATTTTGAACTCTGATAAAGACAACACTAGTAGAATAATGGGCAAGAGAAAGTGGTTTGGGTCAGACATTTTCAGTGTGATAACAGGAGTATGTGTTATATTTAGAAGCATGTCTAAGCATCACAAATATATTACTTGAAAAAATATAAAACATGCCATGGTGAGATAGGAAGAGATTAGAAATTTTATTTAAATTTTTTTTATAAGATTGGGCATGGGGGTGCATGCCTGTAATCCCAGCACTTGAGAGGCTGAGGCAGGAGGATCCTTGCAAGTTCAAGACCAGCCTTGGCTACAAATTGAGATCAAGTGAGACACTGTCTCAAAATGACAAAAATAAATAAGTACAATAAATCAATTAATAAATAAAATTTTAAAACTAAAATTAATTTAAATGTTTTTATAATATTTTCTGGGTTACTTTTCTCTCATTGCTGAGACAAAATACCTGATGCTCGGAATTAAGGAAGGAAGGGTTTATTTACCCTACATTTTGTGGAGGTTTATATCTATACTTGGCTGGTTCCAAGGCAGATTGGCACATGGCAGAGGGCAACAGTTCATGGCAGTGGAAGATAGCAAAAGCAACAAGAGCAAAAGGGAGGAGTGGTGGCAGAGAGAGAGGCTAGCAAACCTCTTTCACTCCCTTATATTGCATGCAAACTACCTGCCCCCGGGTGTGGGTGAGTGTAGCACTCACACCCGTAATCCCAGCACTGGATCATGGATCAATCATAAACTCTACAAGCCCGCCCCATGACTGCATGAGGCTTTGGGGGGACATACAGACACAAACCATAACAATATGTTTTAAACAATGATACAGTTTTAAAACATCACTTTTTACTTAGATAAATTTTCTTTGTGTGAAGTATAGTATAGGTAGTGATTTATTGTTCCACAATAAATCAGTACCTATAAGGTTATAGTAGTCAAATTTCTGAAATATATTAATTTCACTTGTCATAAGAAATAACCTGAAGCAAAACACATAGGGGTTACTTAAATAATTGCTTAAGAAAACATGACTGACATAAAAAAGAATTCCTTACATGCTTGTACTGTCTCTAATAAAGTATTTTTATCATATATTCCTATTTTTAGAAGAACCTATTCTATACACCTGCATTCTTTAGAAAAAATTACTTGCACTTAAAAAATAAATTTTTGCTCAAAGATACATCAGAATAGTGATAACGGACAATTCTAATAAAACCTTGAAATTCTAAAGAGCTCTTGAAAAAAAATCTGTTTAACTACTTGTACAAATAAAGTCAAGTCTTTTAAAGATCATGACTGCAATAGTGTCATACGGAACTGCAGAAAAATCTACAAAAGTATTTCATCATAAAGATTGTTTCCTGACAGCTCAAAGTACTATAACATAATGAAATGTTGCTATAATTCAACTAGATTTTCCTAAATAGGGTATAAAAGTCTATGCTGAGAAAATTAAACTATAATATAGACACAATCTCATCATTGTAATGTATTTTTGTGGGTAACAAATTTTTTAATGTGGCAGTTAAATATATATTTCAGAAAATATTTTATTTTTTCAACCAGAGGCATCATTTTCAGCTCAAATTTTACATATATTCCTGAAAAGTCACTACTATAGAGAAGGTTACATTTTTGTTTTTTTAGCCCAATTTTTTATTGCAAGATTTATAGATACAATGTGTGACACAACCACCATTGCTGATTTCCTATCACCTTGTTTTGAAATTCTGTATCATTTTTAATTTTTTTCTTTTTATTTTCTTTAAAATATAAAATAAACTTCTACACTTAAGAAAGATATATAGATCATTGAGAAGTGTCTAACATTGTTAATTCAAGATTTAAACCAAATTCTAAACCTTTATTGTTTATTTATTTTGTAAGAAAATAGGTAGTATGAATTTATGAAAATATATATCCATGTCAATATCAGTATACATTTAAAAAGATGCCTTGTCTTGGTTTTGTTTACTAACTTTGTTAATGATAGCTTCCAATAGAACTGAACAAGACTTTTAATCTTTTAATTTTATTCTGGTGGAGATTAATTATCATATAATCACTATTAAATTTGTTATGATAATCAAAATAAAATATTTAGGGGCTGGGGATTTAGCTTAGTGGCAAAAGCGCCTGCCTGGCAAGCGCAAGGTCATGAGTTCGGTTCCTGGTACCAGAGAAAAACCAAAAAAAAAAAAAAATTTAAAAATAAAAAATGGATTTTGGATTTTTTAGTTAACACTTATTTTCAATAGTTTTCTAGAAATGTTCCTCTGTTGCTTTGAAGTCTTTGCTCTTTTCTTTTCATACCACTCTGCAATAATGGTAGAGATGCAAACCTGAATCGATGAATTACAGCTTTTACAATTTCTGCTCCTAAAAGTCGTACATGAATGTTTGCCTGGCCATTTTACTAGGAAATTCTTCATATTCTTGAAGATTTTTCTCTAAAAACTAAATAATCATAAATAATCATAAAGATACAGATAGTAAAAGCAGAAAGGGGAAAAACTCTATAAGACAAGTTGCAGTTAATTTCATGCAGGTACTGAAATGAAATTCATAATCCACTGTCATGAAAAAAGAAGATAGTGTAGGTACTACAAGTGGATGTGAAATCCAATTCTGGATTCTTGATTTGGACAAAGCAGTGATACTCTTTCTGGAATAACTTGGCAAGCCTGAATACGCATTAGTAAGAGTTAAGTTGAATATTTGTTGTTGTAGGATGACACAGACCTTAAACAGGCAAGACTGGGCTATAAAGTAATGGGATATTAATATGAGGAAAACATATTCTCATATGTATAGGTGTGCCTATAGATGTATAGATCTAGAATATAAAATACAAAACTAAATAGTTTTCTAGGTAATATGAATATAATACTTTGCTTTTTTTTTCTACTTTTACTTATGTGTATTTCTTAACTTGTAATATGTTAATATTTTTTTGAAATGTTTTTTAATTTTAAAAAATGCAGAAAAAATAAATCACTGCCGGTAACTTCAATTTTGTAACTGCCTTGTTCACTTTTTCCTTGAATGTTCATGTTACAGTTTTTGCATTAAGAATTCATGTTGTTATTCCCTGTCTACTTTTATAATCTATGTACTTTTGCATATATTTTCTATTCATTATAGTTTAATGCTTGTACACTTTTAATTACCATTGTTTCTTACAATTAAAATTATGTTCCAGAAAACCAAGCTAATCTGAAAAGTTAATACATTTTACACACTTCCTATTTTTCCACTCCTCTCAATTTTAATGATTCATTGATATTTGCTATAAAATAGAGACCATCCTCCCCCAAAGTTAAAGCTTAACACTTTATGGAGATCATGGATAAAGAAAATTTAGCTACTTAAATTGTCTTTAAATTGCAATATATCTCTCCTAGGTCCATTATCGCCAACTAAGCTCAGACTGCAAGCTTTCTTTCTTTCTGTGAGGCAGAGGAAACTCTAGCTGGCTCAGATAGCACCACTGGGATAGGAAGGGTCAAACGCTAAGGGACCCACAATTCCTGTGTAATCCTTTATGCTATAAAACTGCTGTTGTTGGTTTGTCTTTGGATGTCCATTAACAATGATTTGTATTTCCCAAAAGATAGGAAAATTTCAAGTGTCCAGTCCAATCTTAAATTAAAAGGATGTAATCAGTCAATAGCATCATTCTTTAATTTGGAAATAGTACGGTGAACACGATCCCCTCACACCATTGAAGAAACTAATATTACAAGGATTCTGAATAACAAATCAATTTGATAGTTCATTTAAAAACAAATAATTTTTTAAAAAACATAAAAAATAAAAACATAATTTGATTTCAATAATTTCACTTAAAAGTTCAGAAAAATTACAATGCACTATGATCTATTGTCTGAAATGTTATTATCTTATAATCAGCAGTTGCTTCCAAAGTTATATCATTCATATAAAAAGGATACATTAATATTATCCATTACTGTATTTAAATCATGCTATTCCTCTTACCAGTTAATATAAAATATAAGAGGATAGAGTAAACTGTATTTTTATAAGCATAAAAGTATTTTCCTGCATGGATTTGTTTCCTCCTAGGGATCAGTTCACAAACAATATATAATAAAGTTAGTAGAATTTATGACTAAAATGCAAATATTTCTAAAATGTATTTTGTTAGACCTTTCCATTTAATGTCTTAATGGCTAGCTACCTTTTAAAAATGAACAAGGTTGTTGTTCTTTTGGTAAAACTAATATTTTGACTAATATAGTCATTGCAGTGAATGCTAAACATATACATTTTTAAAGTTAAAGCAAATACATTAC